GCAACAGTTGCACTGTCAAATCAATAATTTAAAAGATAGAAAAAGAAATAGGTAGGAGAGAAAAATCACATACCTGTATGGGGAACAGAAGAACCAGCAGTAATGCACCAAGAAGAGAAGCAACACCAAGCTGCTGATAAAGGAGAACCATTGCAAAAACAATACGGAAGGGAGCTGACCACAGTGTGTGAAGTGATTGACATATTTGCTGTGGAAATAAATACCAATTGGTTCATTAGTCATAAATCACTTAGATTCAGATATCACTCGAACAAATTTAGAAAGAGAATTTTACATATAGTTTTGACCCCCTAAGGTAATCAAATAACAAGAACACCATATATACATAAATGAATGGTATGGAAAAAGTCATGCCTGAAGTGCTTCAGCATCAGTTGTCATCAAGTTGGTTATTTTTCCAGATGTGAATTTCGCACGACTCTCAGGAGTTAGCCTAAGAGATTTGCGGAATACAGCAGCAACCTACAGAATATAACAACTTGCTCAGAAAATTAAAAGTATTGGGGAAATGAACCATCAAAAGTGTTCTGAAATGCTTGTTATGATATTGCAAAGGACAAAAAAGACTGACTAACATAAAATGGTCATGGAAATAATGAAATTACCAAGGTAGCTCTCAACCGAAAACCAACACGCATGACATTCTGAAAATACTGAGCTTCACATAACACCCCAACAGCCTGTATCAGGTTACATAGTTAAGCCCATGTTACATCAAAACTGGACCATCTCTAAATACCTGACAAATTACAGTTTAGGCAGAAAAGTTGAAAGTGAAACTTTTAAATCACACAATGTAACAAAGAATTCATTTCTTACCACTCCAGCAAAAATTAAGAATGCATAGATGTAACCAGTCCAAGCTGGATCACCTTGTTGCATGGACTGCAAGCAGTTGATTAAACAAATAAGTGAAATAGTTTCCAGGACAAAACCAAAATTAAAATCAAATAGAAATGAAGGAAAATAAGGAAAAGGAAAGAAGAGAAAGCATAGGCAGATCATCTATCCAGTTAGCCATAGATGCATGGCCAACCTGTAGCAGGTGGTTCAAAACAAGCGGCCCCACAAACTGGGAGAGATCACTGCCAATCTACAAGTTGAAAAAGAAAGAAGGGTTATCATTGAACATCCAGCCCTAAGTAGTAGATCAATCCATAGATTAGATATTGCATTATGGTATAGAAAGATCCAAATGCAACATCAAGAAAATGAGCTGATTACCTTCCAGAAACCTCCCCACCAAAACCTACAAAAAGAAGAAAGGTGTAAGCATACATGCAATGACAAAATCTCTAACCAAACAATAATTATGCCACTAGCATTATTTCATCTGTTTGTATTTTCCATCCCAAGTTTTTGTTCAAGCCAAAGACAAGGAATCTTTGCTCAACTATACCACCAATTATGGCACCTGTATATAATCCCATGGGCAAATACACAAGACATCCTACCAGTGGAAGGTCTAAGAAAGCATGTTCTTTTCATGAGTTCTAAACATGTTATTAAGTTTTTATCAAATAGAGATTCAAATAAACTTTACCAGTCACGAGAAATCAATTACCCATAGTTGCGTTTGTCCTACTTTTAGAGCTTTAGTGTTGTTTAATCACTTTCGTCATTTTCTTTCAATCTTCAAATTAACTAATCACTTTTACAAAAAAAAAGGAATACAGGCTAAATTCAACCTTACAACCAAATATCAAGAGACAACCAGCTGCTCTTTACCTACCTTCCTCCTAGGCTACTATTCAATGCCCTTAAAAGCCATGGTTTAGGCCTTTGCATTTCTTTAGCCCAACATTCCTGAAATCTACAAGTCAGAAAAAATAAATGTCAAACAACCTTGCCATGTACAAAATGCTGAAGAACCATAAGAGAGGAAAAGCTAGCACACACATTTCATTCAATGTTTCTGTCCTATCCCATGTGTCTAACTTCCAGATATCCTTCTCTGTAATAGGTCTTCTATACCCTTGCTGCATGAGGGGACTCATCCATGAAAAGAATATCCCTAGCAAACCAGAAAGGAGAAAAAGAGCATCAGAAATCAACTCAAAAGTACAAAATTTGTTCGTTGAATTGACCTCTAACCAGTTTCTGCACCATGCCATTATCAGGTTGAAACAGAGAAGTAGAGAAAGACTGCTGGAAAGATCAAAGCTAGTTTAACCACACTTTTCCAGTATAATGTATTTTTAATTATAAAGGAAATTCAAACAAACAGCCTCAAATAAAATGTCCCAAAAAAAAACAAAATAAAAAATTCAACAGTTAGAAAACAATCAACAGCCCTTTTCCTGTTAGAGTTTAAAATATAAATCAAAGGCAAATTCATTTATCAGAATGAAACAAGATATGCCAGTCTATCATGCATGGCACAGCCTCATATAATTTACAACTTATTTTAATAAGGCTTTATATCTTACTAAGATATGTTTCTAATTCAGAATTTCTGAATTCTAGCAACTTAGAACACATATACAGGAGTAGTACTCACAGGAAAATATATTGGCATGCTTTTCAGGACATATTTGCTCTCCTCCAGGAAGTTCTTCATATTCAGCCTCATCAACCAATTCGGTCCTCATTGGTGTGTAACCGGGATAAGGATCCAAATCAGGGAGGTATACCAGGAGGAGTATTCCAAACAAAACCTGCATCAATGCAGTAGCCATATCCTTAAGAATGAAATTGAAGAAACATATATATAACTCTATTGAAATACAACCTCACTGGATTATGCTATCATTTGCAGTATATGCAAATCCATCTCTGTCCTAAAAGTACACTTAACATGAAAGACAACACCTATCATCTTCTTGCGGGGAGCATTTGACAGCAGAATCAGTGTGTTCGGCACTACATCAAATCTAACCAATTCCATTCCTTCTCCTTTTTTCATTTTTGAATGGTTCAAGCCAATCTAAATATAGTTTACAATGACTTAGTTATGCACAAACAATTGTTCTAATATCAGTTAAGGAGAAAAATTAGCATATTTTGGAGCTAACATTCTGGGTGGACAGTTCTTTGACGTTTCAAGACCACATTTTGGATACTGCTTCCAGAAAGAAAAAGAGAACGGAAAATCCAAAACCTTTAGGATGGAAAAGGAACTTAAGATGACAAACCTGAACCAAGATCTCACTGAGATACAGATACAGTACAGAGCTGCAAAAACATAATAAAATGTTTGTTATGCATCATTAAACATGAATGATAATTGATCACAAAGTCCTTAAAGGAGCAAAATGCACGCAAAAACTAGATAGATCATCTCAAGCTGACAAGAGAGAAAGTTTTACATAATGGAGAAAAACAAACCTATTACAGAACTCCTTCACTGAAAATATCAGATTGAGCATCACTGCATCCCCTACCAAAGCATAAACAAGACTGAATCTGACAACCCATCGAGATTCGTGGATGTACACTTTAGTTTCCACTCCAATCATCACCAGCAGAGAGCACCATGTAAGAGCTTCAATTATCAAGGATGCAATCTACATAGAAAATTCAGATGCTTCACATATGACTTGCATAGGATTATTGAACCTGGCTTTAACCACACTTCATGGTGGTGAGACCCAAAAGAAATCATTTTACAGATTCGTGGCAATTTTATTCTGACTTGGGAAGTGTAGAGTAGGAATGCATGCCATTAAGAACCTAGTAGCCAGTGATGTTGCAGTCCACTGGTCCATAAGACAGCATTTAAAATAAAGAAACAGGAAGAGTGTAACAACACTGAGTGACTAACAATCCATCTCTAGCAATTTACTTATCATTGTCAGCTTTAGCAAGAAAAGAAAAATGCACTCTCACCACCATCCCTATTCATTGTATTGCAGCACAACATAAATTCTAATCTAACACGAATGAACAGCATTCCTTTGTACAAAATCCAATTTCACATAGAAATTTGATCAAATAGATATCAAGTTTACGGGAAAAATATATATATATATCAAGTTTGATCACATTCTCATGTCTAGGGTGCTTCAAAGAAAAGCTGCAACTGCAAGCCAATGTGTATAATATCACTGTAACCTACCTCATAAGGAGCAAGACCAGTCTGTCCATCTAAATTCAAAACTGAAATACCCATCATCAATCTGTACAGCGGCTCAGCAGTACAATAACCAGCCAATAATGCCAATAAATAATTGTAGTACTTTGACTTCAGACAGAACCGCTGGACTTTGAAATCTTTCTTGATCAGCCATATTCGATAGACACACAGAGCCAATAGCACCAAGTGAGATAGACTGATGACCAGAGAATCAGTAGCACAGGGTGTGTATGCACCAAAGGCATTAGCCACTGCTCTTGTCCACAGCCCATTAGCCACCGGACGGCAAAACCAATCCAATGGCTCGAAAGCCATTTTTTTATTGCTTCTGCACACCCTACTCTTCAATTAAAATGCATAATCCACCACCCTCAGCCTTCTTCTTTGTTAGCCACTGATACACCTTCCACAATTCTGTGCCTGCATTAATTCCAAAACAAATTTAACCTTGAATGAAAAAATTCACCA